CAGAAAAGCTCTCATGAAGAAGTCAGGAATAAGCCTTGAGCAGGCCAGCTTCAGGTCACAGGGATGAAAACTCATATCAATCATGAGCAGGTACAGGCAGCGAAGTTGTCTACCTCTCTCTTCTGGTATCCAAACTCAACTGGGGAAACACAAAAATTGCCTAAAGAAATTGCCTTGCAAGGCATCAGACAGACAACTGGAGTTTCCACAGATTTTAGGCAGTCCTCAAGCCATCCACACTGCTTGTCAAAGTCCTAAACTTTTGGCTGCAGGTGGGGGCCTGAAGTTACAATATCCAGGAGGTCAGACCCCCTCAAACAGAAGCAGGAACAGTGATTCCAGAAGCAGAGCCCCAGCCAGACAAGCACAGAAGACATGTGAAGTCAGCGGATCACATCAGCTGCTAGCATCCAAGCAAAACTGGTCTCCCAGCCTGAGCCATCCTCACCTTGAAAACCTTGAAGATTTGTAAATGCTCCCTGCAGTGGTACACAAATTTTCTCTGACCTGTCAACAAGCAAGAATTATCAGCTACTTGAGGTATCCAAATTGAAGCAGGCAGTGGAACCACTGGCTGAGCAGCCTATTTCCAGGCTTTTCCTCACCTTCACTGAACCCTGAAATTGTTATGAAAGTAACTGAGCACCCTGGCAAGCCTATACGCGAGAGGTTAATAGAGAACGAGCTCCTGCTAGCTCTTCAAGTAATAAAACCAGTACTTTTACAAAGACACCAGAGAAAACAGGCTGTGCCTCCTTTCAGAAAGGACTTGCCCTGGGGGGATATGGGCACACACCATTGCTTATGCACTAGGAGAAATGCTGCTTCCATTTCCTTCAGGTTCAAGCAAGGGAAGGCCTCATTGACATATCTAGAAGTAGGTGGGGAACCTCAGGCAGGGAATGACCCATCACAGCCAAGATATGAATCAGAAAAGCCTCTGTAGCCAGCCATGACCAGAGTTGCTAGGTTAGTCCAGTATTAGTGGCCAGTTCCTCAAAGGCCAGCACACATGCAGGCCAGCTCCCCATCTGGGTGTCTTTGCAAGATGACAGTAAACAACTTGGGCAATGGCAAGATGTGTCAGAATGACCACAGCAGTACTTGGAGCACATCTAGTATTTAAGACTTCCTCCTCCTCTACCATTATGCAAATGTGATTGAAACCTTTCACAGATGTATGCCAGAATATATGGCAAGACAGACAGCTATGTACAAGAGGGTGGACAGCAAAGATTCGGGCTCTTCAGCTGGTTCCCCCTTAAAGCTTCTCAGAAGAGGACATCAATTCTGGGAAATTACTAAGCAGCAAAAGACAACACCAAAGCAACCATCAATGCTGCTGGAAAGCTATTGCTTTTGTGGAGCAGGCAGGACCTCTGAGGGACGCAAGGGAAGCACCATGGTTAGTCTCAGGCACTAACGTGATGCTGGTATGTGAGGTACCTCTTACTGCTTTACTGGTTATGGGACCTTCAGGGAAGGTTAAATGTAGAAGACTGCAATCCAAAACTCATGGTTGTCTATTCTGAACTTGCCATAATCTTTACAGTCTCTGTCTTACACTAGCATTCCTGTCCTAAACCAAGCAGGTAGGTCCCAGGGATGACACATAGCTCATATGAATGAGAAGCTGTTCCTGGCACTGAGCAGAAGTGAAAACTGGAGCTTTTTCCCCCCCCTTTACCTACCACTGCCAGATTAAGACAGAGTTTTGAGATCAAAGAACCTACAAATTACCTGACTGTATTAGACTGCTTTTGAAAAAAAACTCTTAAACAGTATCTGACCTCCGAGCACATTAATAGCCATTACACAGCCCCAGTTCTTTGGGTTGTCCTAAAGAATGTCTTTTAGTCCAACCCTCTACTGTGGTCTTTCCCCATGCCACTGAGCGTTTCAAATTATTTGGTGCAATTGCATGAGCACACATTTCAGCTGAGACACTCACCTGTTCTGTGCTGGAAGCTATTCCTGCTCTCCTAAAAGGCCCCAGGGAGAAATCACCTCCTCTCTAGGAAGTCATTCTTTCATGCATGTCATCACAGGGTCTAACAAATTGGTATCTTATTGCACAACACGCTGGGAATAGAACAACTTCTATCAGGTCATTACTAGCTTTTGGGATGCCTGCAAGGTGTTGCACTCTTGTATTTCAAAACCAAAAGAGAGGAGGGGTTACAATGACAATCCAGTGAATGCTGCAAGGACAGATGTTCCTGGAAAACACTGTCATTAGTCTTTAGCTCAATCATTTATTCAGCTGCAAACTCTTCTCCACTTCTTCACTGCATTCCATATTGCAGAGAGTGCTTTAGATTATAACGCAAGTTGACTCCTTGTTAATACTTCCTTTAATATAGGAAATTAACTGCTAACCATACCAACACTTAATGTCAGACCACAGAGTTATCTACTTAACCTGTACCAGCTATTTCTACCTATGGCAGATCAGCAGCTTGCACATGAATCATGAAGATTCAGTCTTCTACTGACACACAATAATGAAAACCTAACTGTCCCAGCTGCTTAAAGGAATACTAATCTATAGCCTAAATATTACTAAATTCAGCAAAGCTTGGGAATCCCTCTCAACCCTACACTGCCAGCACCACGGTTACCTTTAACCAGATTCTAGTTTACTGTTTTTCACTACAGCTCTCCTCAGTGAGCCTAGGACAAGCTGCAGAGACAAAGGATGGTGCATTTAGACTGCCCAAGGCCACTCTATAGGTCAGAGGCAGAAAGCTGGGCAATGAGAACAGCAAAGTTGGGCTCTAGAGCGTAACTTTTGTGAGGCAGAATTATGCGAGACCCAGCTATAACTTCATTCAGAAAACAAAGGTGACTGCTGTTTAAAATCCACTGTTAAGTATTACTCGTGTGCAAAAGTGCAACGCACTGCCGCACAAGGCAGGAAAGCAGGTCAAGAGCAAAGAAGCTGGAGCAGCTGTAAGAGCTGCAGCCTGAGCCAGCCACTAAGAACAAGACCTGCAGTGACAGCTGCATTTTACCATGGCAGAAATCCTTCAATAAGCCACAAAACAACATACAGTCCCAACTGCAGGAGTGTAAACTGGGAACGAACACACTACACTCTCCAAACTGGCAAAATCTGCATTTAATTTACAACATAGTAAAGGTTACAGGTAAAAAGCTCGACAGAAAGTGTGAAAGGGCCTATTACATATTACACAAGTGTACAAACTTCTGTACAAAGCCCCTAGATGTTATACTGTCCCCTCCTGTACTGGCCAGCTATGGCCCCTAAGCTCTAAAATAATGAGAGCTTATTCAAACCCAAGTTCAAACCCAAGGGAGGAGATGAGCTTTAAAAAACAATGAGCAGTAAAACTTCCCTTTTCAAGAAAAATCTTGCAAAGAGCCACTTGCAAAAAACCAAGAAACACCCTCTCCCTCCCCCCTCCAAAAAACAAAACAGAAAAAAAGGAAGAAGAAAACCTGTTCAATTTTTACTTGCCCTAATTAGTTTTACCCTAAAGAGTTGCCTTCATAAAGCAGACTGGCTGGAAAAAGAAAATTCTACATACCAGAAAGAAGCAAAACTAAAAATAAAGGGAGAAAGATTTTAAGACTCAGCATGGAGTGTTTGGGAGAAGAATGTCTGAGGACTGAATCACATTCAATAGCAACTAAACAAAGAGCAGCACAACTATATCATGGAGAAGGTACTGTATGCATCCATATAATAGTTTGAGCTAGATATGTTGGTGTGGGGAGGGGAACAAACCAGTCTCTAAAGCCATCGCTCTTGTAAATGGGGTAGCTACTAGCTCATTTTTACCTCAGTAACATGATAGAAGCAATCATTCTGCAGATGCAGAAGTCACACTGATTTTGGAACATCTGTCCAAAACAGGTCTAGTGCATACAACACACCAGATGCACTATGAACACAGCAGTGCTCGAGCAACCACCAGATTTTCACAACACTACTTAGCCAGGTAGCTACACAATGAACAGCTGGGTCATTGTAGTGCACATTTCCTGGAGAAATCCCCCAAACAAAGGAATGAGACTACATAGCTGAACTGCGTTATAGAATGTAAAAAAAAAATCCAGAGTAAACCTAAGAAAAACAAAGCTCTGGCCTTACTTTGTATAAAGACATAGTATCTGAACACATTTGAATCAGATTTTGAAACATAAAACCAAGGATTTGAAGGCCTAGAGCAACAATCCAAATCAAGCTTCTCATTTTATTCAATGGGAAAAAGTGAAATAGTCAAAAAAGTAATATTATGAAACCAACCTGTGCACTGTTTTATTCAAACCAAGGCAGATTCTCTACTGAGAATTCATATTCTAGCTTTAAGTAGCACTCAATTTTCACCCACTGTTACTAGCATCCAGAATAGTGTGCAGATTGTGGTTTTAGTTGTTAAACATGCAAGTCCTCTGACATTGCTGATGGCTGCTCATTTTTATGTGTGTCTTGTTGCATCTCACATATATTCTAAGCTCAAGTTCCATTTGCAAATAAAAATGAAACCATTTAAGTTAAAACAGCCACCAAGTTTAAAGGAAACTGTTCTCCTCTGTTAACTCCACCTTAAGTTATCACAGGGTCCACCAAGTTTAAAGGAAACTGTTCTCAGAGCTCTGTTAACTCCACCTTAAGTTATCACAGGGAATAGAGTCAACACTACTTTGTTTTTCATTGCCTGTACAGTGTAGGTAGTGCCCATCGACCGGTCAAACGCTCCTAGGCTTGCCATGCTTGTATGCTGCCATTAGCACCAACACAAGCTCAGATGCATTCACATGTACACCCCTTTATGCATACACACAGCACTCCATCATACAATACGGGGCCACAACTAAGGCTAAGGAAGCCCACCTATTTCTTGTCCATCTCAACTCCACGTTCTCATGGACTAATGGGATGCTGTAGTGTTTTAGGTGGAAATTAAAATGAGCTGTATCTAAACAAAACAAAATGATAATGCCCCATATTGGTGGGGTTTTGAAAATGTAAAAAAATGAAAGCTGATCTGTATTTTGCAAGTTTTAGAACTCATACCAATGGGATTTCTGAAAGGCTTGGCCCCCCAAACATTTACTTCTCATACAGCTGACCTGCTATGAGCAAGTCCAGCAGGAACATCATTACTCATAGTAAGCATGACACCTAAATACACAAATTTTCAGGGTCATGCCATAAACAATAATTAAATTGTATGACTCTGCCCCTTCAACTTGTGGATCAAAATTCAGAGTAAAGTCCTCTGGGGACAGTAATGGCTAAGAAAAGGCTGCCAGATATTTTGGTTCAAAAGGAGATGGGAGCTGTATTTTTTTTTTTCTTTTAAACAGACATATAAAAAACTTTTGAAGACAGATCTTTAAAGGATATTTCACTTCTCCAATCTTGGTATTACATCTGGTTAGGACATTGAAATTTTAAAAAGACGATACTGCACATAAACAGTTTCTGGAGTTCATAACTCCCACCCTCCCTCAACAAAACCCAACTCAGATCAGTAGGGAAGGGGTTGGCTTCTTGCCCGGCCATGCCTCCTTTGCGTATTTCTTCTTCTTGGGTTCATTCACAGCTTCAGGATTAAAGACAGCAGGGTTTGGAGCTGGGTTCATGTTAACTGTTGAGGGCACAACGGGAGTCAAGTCCACATCTGGGGCAAGATTGGGGTAGGGCATTGGCAGACCACCAATGAGAGCTGTCCCATGGACGCCATGCGATTGGGAACCTGCCTCATTGTGAGTTGGAGGTAAACCACCATATAATCCTCCACTGTACGGAAAGTTTTGCATACGTCGTGATGCAGAATCATCTGTGGTTAATGAGCCTGGATTCTCCAACCGTTTTTTCTGTAGACGGAAGTATTTAAAGAATTACTAAAAACACATGAAACAAGCAAGCTATTTAAACTGGATGCCAATGTCATTTTCCCCAAAAAGGCACCAAGACTAGCTACATATAAAGTGGTTACAGACCACATCCCAGTCTTTGTCCCAGAAGATTTCTTCTGGGTTTCCTTGAAACCTAATAATAAACTCTTAAAGGTGCACAATGCAGGAAGGAGTGACAGAAGTTGAAGCTCAGGTTTAACTTATATCAGGTCTGAGCACCTCTTTACCTCCTGTACATGCTTGCCAGTCTTGGTCTTGCATTCAGGACAAGCTCAAGTAGGTCTTTAGTCAGTAACACAGACCGTCCTTCCCCCCACAGTAAGAAACTGCAACTTCTAGATCACTTGGGTGATTTTGTCTAGCTTTTGATCATTTGAATAATCTTCTGCAGTCTGGGGTTTAGATAGAATTATGCTTTTCCACATACATTATTTAGTGTATACCAGCAACAAGTGAAATTGCTATTATACTGTTGCTTAGCTACCCTGAAGTTTTGCACATCTCCCCTACTCCTAGAATATTCAAATTAAATATAGCACTGGCAACATGCTCACTTTGGAGCAAAGTCTAAACCTTGCTAGCTCTAGTAGACAACCTTATGAAATCTTTAGCACTTACAGTATTTAAACAAACAACCTCTTATTTTTACTTTTTACTTGCCACACTTCCTACAATTTTAACTGCTGCCTAGAACTACCATGCTGAATTTCTGGAAAGTGTTTCTTTCGGGGAGCATAAAAAAAATTGCCATTGATCCCATGTGTTATTAAAGAAAAGAGCTAAAGCTGTGTTTGAAGGGAAATGGTCAAATCTGCCAAAAAGAGACAATTGTGAAACATGAACACGACTTTTGCTTAAGAATAAGACACCTCCCACCACAGTACATTATGTTTCTAAGGTGTAATTCATAAAGTGAGTTCATCAATGTAATGTGTTAATTGGAAAGTTGGGAGTTACTCTATACCTTAACAGGGACTACTGCTGTCTGTACCATGTTCCTGAAACGCCCAACAGAAGGGTCCACATCCTCTGTAAAGGCAAGAACAGTGAAGCTTTCAGTTAAGAATACAGAAAAAGATAGAACATCTGTCAGGTAAAGGAACCTACATGAAGAACTGGTACATGGACCTTCTCTTCTCAAAGCCAGTGCTCTAGTAGCTCTCATAGGCACAAGCACACCAAAATAAAGAGAGGAGCTAAGGGGACACCTAGTGGCTTTGTCTCAAGGTGGGATCATCACACATTCTGGTAAGAAAGGCTTCTGCTCAAAGAATGGGAAACAGGACAGATGGATGGTCAGGTTGCACTGATCAGACTGGAGTTCTGGGCTGAAAGCTGCTGCTGACAAAGCAACGCACGTGCTCAAAGGCACAACAGCTAGCCCCAGAAGTCCTTGGGGGACCTTGAAGGAGGAGTCAGAATAATTCAATGTAGAGCCTCTGAAAGTCTGAAAAAAATTACCTTTTTTGTAATGTAAATGATTGCCGTTTACATTAGGATGTTCTGAGCACTAAATTGCATAACGTCATAAATCAAAATGGTTATTCTGGGTGCTATGCACTGCCAAACGAAACTAGATCCAGACTATATTTTAAAAATGCATACTCATTAATAAACTACTCTTATTAATAGGAATATTATCCATATAAAATATCATTAATAGGAGTGTCATTAATATAAAACAGCTAGGGGAGAAAAATGACTAATTAGGAATTGGATATATCTTCAGAAGCATCATTTTGAATGAGAATGACTTGTTTCAGATATGCAGAGAAGTAGCAAAAAATCTCTGAGCTTGAGACAAATATCCATTAGGCAACAGGTAAGGAAAGCGTTAACAGATGAAAACCAAACAAGTTCAGTACCCATTTAGGTTCTAAAGAAGGCAAAAAATTTAACACACTTTCCTCCTTTTAGACCCATGAGATCTTTCCAACATGTGACAGAATTTAAGAATGAAATGGAGTGTGATATGCTTGTCCTGTACAAATCATGCAGTTATTTTATAGGTAGAGAAGAAGAAAACAGGGAGAGTTCACAGACATGTGGCAGCTGCTTTAAAATAGCAGATCCCAAATACTGACTGCCAAATTTATGTTCTCCTTATCCATATGCAGCCATGAGGAATCTCTATAAGAATACTGGAAAGAAGGTCTCAAAGGCGTCAAATAAAGGTTAAAGCAAACTACTTACCTGGATTGATAATTTCATCATCATCACTGAATGTCACTCTGGAATTCTTCCGTTTTCTCTTTGGTCTCTGAATATCCAAGTTTCCTTCCTCAATGGTTAGTGTAGAAATTCTTTTGTTGTGGGCTGTATTAAACTCTGTCAGGTTCTAATGACAAATTTGGAGATGGATTAGTTTAAGCAACTAGTGTATAAGGTCTGATTTAATCATGTGATTGCGCATATCAAAAGACCACAGCACATTGTTCAACTTCAACTTTAGACCCCTAAGACAAAAGCATGCTTCAGTGCTCCAACAGGTTGCCCAGAGAAGTTGTGGAGTCTCTGTCTGCAGAGATATTCAGAAGTTGGCTGAGCGTGATCCTGGGCAACCTGCTCTATCTGACCCTGCTTGAGCAGGGGGCCTGGACTAGATCCCAAGAGGTCTCCTCCAATCTCAACAATCCTGTGAATGCCACACAAACTGCTGTCTCCCTCTTCACTAGCTAACTGTAGGAAACAGGGCAGCATTCACTGTTGTTTGGCAATGGGGAATATTGTGGGAAATCACCCCTGACCTGCGGTAATGTCAGCTGGAGAGCACATACTCCCTGGCAACCCTTTGTAAGAAGACCATTGGAATAGTAGGATTATTAGGTCACTGATTCTGGGAAGCAACACGATCACAGGCTTATCACGGCAGAACAAGATGGTGTGTGCATATCTGCCAGCAGAAGACACCTCAGACTATCTTCAAGGCCAAGAAATTAAGAACCTGAACCTAAGCAAACAAGTGGGGAATGCTATCTGTTTAGCTGAAAATGCCATTAGGTACAATGTGCCATCATACTCACGTCAAGTTCTGTCTCCTCCTCTGGCAGGCCCAGCAAGCCCTTGAGCTCTTCATCTTCACCACCCATTTTCTCATCTCCTTTAACTGCTGATGGCAGTGTCTGAGGCTTCTCTCGCAGAGTATATGCCCGTGTAGAAGCGCCAAATGAAACTGTGGAGTCAATGGGTATCTGTTGGGGTTTGTGAGGTTCCAAACGGATATGACCCAAGAATGTACCATGTGCTGAGAACATCAAAATGCAAAATAGTCTGTTAGTCATCAGCTTGGGCTCATATTATTTGAGTTCAAGTCTTCAGAAGTTCAGAAACTGTACATGGTTGCTCCAAGATACAGGTCACTGAGGTACTGCTGAAAACATTAGCTATGTAAATTTTACCTACCATCTCACAAACTAAGATAACACACATCAGAAGTCCTCAGGATGTCATGGAACTAAATGACAAACACCATTTACTTTCTGGATTCTTGTAGGTCCCAATGTACCACGTCTGGAATCATTCCCTCAGTAGAAAAAACAGGTTTTAGATCTTGGGAAAACACCCTCAGAAGAAAAAGTTCATTGAAATTGTGAAGGGAAGGCTAAGTCACTTTCTTCCTCTCCCTTGCCCTCTTAAGAGTCTAGAAATGTTATTTTAAACACCAAATGAAGCAGATGTAAGCTGACTGGAGCAAACAGTCCTTTGCTCCTAACCGTTGCCAAGCTTTCACTAGGGTGCTAATTCATATTATGGTCATCTATGCACTCAGTGCAAATAACAACAACAACAAAAGGAAAAAGTGTCTCAGATTCAGAAATGTTTAAGCACTGAAATATCACACTTCCATCTCTTTAAATGTCACACTACTTACTGCTGTTTAGATCTATGAGGAAAACCCTCTTGAGATGTTTGTGATAGACCAAGGCAGCATGGACCCGAGAGCAAGACTGGTGGTCAATGGTAAAATCGCACAGATCAGGATTTCTCCCAAAGAGATAGTATTTCTTCTCATCAATGATGAGTTTCTGAGGTAGAATATCAAACAGAAAAGCATATTAGACTCCTACAATCTTTTGGATCGTCCTGAAAAAATTCAAGAACGTGAATAAACAGAGCAAATGCAAACCAAAGTGTCAACATCTAATCAATATTTCAGTTTTGTCTGACACTGTTTAATACAGAAACTCAAATCTAATCTTTGTAAAATCAGAACAGCTGAATATGGAAAAGTCCCAGTTATTCTCTTCTTTAACAGCCGATGCAAGACAGCCTGGGAAGGACAATAACTCTTCAAAGCACGAGACTAACTCATACAAGAGATTCTCTCTCACATCTGCTCCCAATGATTTTTACACATTCCTCAAGACAGATGACCTGGGGCCTTCTCCAAGCCAGGAATCTATGCTAAATGATCTCCAGTCTGATACAGAACATCAAAATTACATTTCTGTATAGAAATGGACATACAGGAGATTTCAGACCTTTATAATAAAGATGTAAAACCAAACTGAATACATATTGTGATAGGAATCCATATTAGTCTATTCAAGTAAGCCATTAATTTCAGGCATTTCTTCTTAATTCATCCTAGTTCTAATCTCTTCTTAAGCAAGATCTTACATACTGTAACATCAGTTACATAATCATCTCTGAAAAGCAAAGGGACATGTTGACACTGTCCTACAGTGTACACAGCGTATTTCTATTAACAATGTTGTTGAAGAAACTCCTTGCGCCTAAATGCTGAAGTACTTAAGCAGTGCACTCTTTCTCACTGTATCCCAAGATCTTAATCTAACCTGTGTTTTCATGTTTCCAGCTGCCCAATTCAAAGGCTAGCAATGCATTACAGGTTTGTTAACAGATGACTTCTCATGCTTTATGAAACATTTACCAAGGCCCACACAACATTTCAACAGCATGATCAAGGGAATGCTGATGACACATTTTCCATCAGAAAAAAACCCCAGATCTTAGTTCAGGAAAGCAATGATTTAATGAGATGGTCTGAGTGGAACTAACATTTTGCCTGCTAGAGCATGAGGATTTCTCCCCTCTCCCTCCTTCCATTCCCAGCTATACAATCCTCTCCTCACACTGCCACATATCTGAGCAAAGTTTTCAGCTTGCAAAGCACTTTTTTGCTGCATTAGTCTACTACTGTTTCACGGGACTGAATCAGTTTGCCTTCAGCCAGGTGCGTATCCCAGCTGGCTCTAGTGAAGCAATGGATTACACGCACTAGGAGTGTGTGATGAGGAAGGACCTCCTGTCCTGGCAGCAGCATTCGTGTCAATCGGTTGTTTGCTCTTTAATTTTGACAGCTGTATAAACCACATGCTCAGCTAGAGAGAGCTAATGTATCAGACTAGTTACAGGTAGCTGGTTTGGGGTTTTTTTGAGCTATCAGAAAGACTGACATGATAAGCACCTAGACACTTAATTATTCTGCTGCACTACCAAGTCATAAAGAAAATAAGGAGACAGCTTGGAATAAGATATAGTATTTCTATTCCTCTGCCTTATCTGCAAGCATAAAAATCACATGGACCCCATTTTCTACTACAAATCACCTTGCAAAGTTACATCTATTTACCTGCCCACCAGTTATGAACTTCAAGGCTTCTAGCACTGCTGCATTCAGATGTCACCTCCCCACTGATTTTTTCAGATTCCCCACCCCCCGAAATGTGTTCTGCATTTTCTAGATTGGATTTCTCATTGTTTTGCTGAACATTTGTCAGCCCCCATACTGCAAGTTTTTATAATGTGGTATTCAGTAATAACTATTTAATTTATTTCTGTATGTTTAGTCTTTCGTTTAGGTCACTAGAAGAATTAATTGAACAACTCAACTCCATACTTATATACATCATGATGACTGTACAATTAATTGGTCCCTTAGGTAATAATCTGCTAATGTCTTATTCCCAACTAACTCAAGGTATACATTTTAGGGATCATTTAACGAGGGTAAATGCTTTGTGAAATCTACTGCCTTAGATATTTTAGGCTGCTTTCTGAAAATAACAAGATTTGGGTGATTAAGCTGTGTGTATATCCGTCAGCTCCCAACACGCACTACTAAACCAAGTAACTTCTCAATAAACTGGCCAATTTCAACCAGCACTACAAGATATTAAATTTCAAGAAGTTCTGGGAAAACACAGTTAGACAGAATAACATCTTCATCAGTACCTTCAGTGATACACCGGCTGGCAGAACATCCACAACAGTGCCAATATTTAGACTTTAACTACAAAAAAAAAATCTTCTTTGTGAGTTCACATCTCATTTGATAAGACAAGAATCACAGCTTTATTAGCAATTCACCTTCAAGTACATTATCTGGTGACAAATGAGGTGCAAATGCAAAATGCAAGTGATTTTCCTCCAATTGGGACATTTAAAACATGAAGGTGTCTCCTCTGAATCTATTTGTGTCTGGTGGGGAATACCATACCCTGAAGCCTCGGTATAATTGGGTTTTATCTAAACCCATGCAAAATCAATATACTGAAACAGCCTACTGGATTCCACTCTCACTTGGCTACTTTCTGTCTCTTTACAAATGCTGGTTTTCACAAGACCCTCCCCTCAGAGTTAACCAGAAAGTACAAGCCACTGATAAAGAGCTTAAACTAGTACATGGTTTCCTCAGTCCTTTCTGGGTGAGTATTATTTCACTTTTTTTTTTAATTCCACCTGTAAACAGACCAATCTCCATCCTGTACATTCTTCATGCTAGCATACTTTTGTTATGCTTTCTACTGCAAGCCTTAATCAACACTTATCATTCCATTAGTCTCACTGATATTTTCCCTTAAGATTACAGTTGTTTCATCCAGCTATTCATCTGTGAATACCATAGTGTTTGTTACAATACATCTTTTGAGAAATGGCGGTTAGGTTTTCTGGGAATTCAAACTCATTTCAACTGGATTTCATTCAACTGTATTTAATGTCCTGTATTATGCAGTGCCTTATTCATTCAGTTCAGCACTCTGAGTCTTCCCAAATTCAATACCTTTGTACTAATGAATTCTATGATTCCACTTTGTAAGAAAGACCAGCACTAACTTTTCCTTTTATTCTTGTGTATTCAAGAAAAAAAAAAAAATCCTGTGTAAACACAACTATGATACAAACAAGGATCTTCAGAAGCTGATTCATTACTCCACATTTCAGTGCTCAGCTCCGTAAGCAGTTATCGCTCACTTTCAGGTACCATAAAAATCGGTCCAACAATTTCTCATTCTTGTCCACAACTGAAACCAAAGGAAGTGTCCTGTAAGTTTTCATTTGCACCCATCACACACAAATCACCATCATTCTGGCTTGACGGCATTTAAAGAGATTTTGCAAAGACACAAATTCATAAATCGAAAATATCACAACAAATCAGTGAAAAAAATTTTATTGCCTTTACTTCAAGATAACGTTTCCAAAATTTTCTGTGCCTCTGAGTTATAACCCGGTGTTAACCTTTATACACTGAGCTTAAACACTTCATGGCTTGTTTTAATGTTGCACTTTTCAGACCCAGCAATCACAAGGTGTACCTCAGACCTCTGCACAAGACCTGGGATACAAGATGGCTCGGTTAGTATCAAGTGCTCAGTAATCCACAAGATTTAAGAATATTCTTTCTTGGTTACTGTTGTCTATTGTAAGACACAAGAGCGAAAAACTATTTGCCATATATACCAAAAGGGGAAACGGATGGATTACATTCAAATGCAGTTAATTTGTTGCACAATTCCCATACATACACATGCTACATTGTCTCATGTAACCACCACAGTCTAAGAGGATTTAAGTCATCACCTACACACAGTGTGCAAGGCCACAAAGAAACCATGCATGGTGGTATGCATGCTACATGGAACAGTCTGCTAGAACTTCCCCACCAAGCCAGCTCTTCTGATTCTTACTTCAGCAGACAGAAGTACGATAGCAAGCCAGACCTCTGCTACACACATAGGTGACTGTACCTGGTCACCGCTTGGCACAGCCTTCAGCATACGTTACACACTGAATAGCAGGCAAGCTGTACCTCACTGATCTCAGTAACACTGATAGCCAACATCAGATATTCAGGAGGTAAAACACAAACTCTACAGTCATTCTGTAACGTGTGTAATGTAATTCAGATCTGTGTGATCACAGCCTCTACTGAACCTTGGGAGTACTTGGATAGTGGACTAGAAATGGCTGTTAACAGTGCTCTGCACAAGAGCAAGAACCACCTCTTTTAGGTTATCAAGAGAGTTGATGGTAGGAAGAGGGAATCAGGATATTTGTACCACCCACTTTCCCAATGCAGAGACTCCAGGTTTACAAGGCCAACTTGGGCCTCCTGTAGGCCCAAAAGCTTTGGGCAGCACAGTCTCGGAGTCCGACACCACCAGGATGATATTCCTGACTGTCAATTTATCAACACCAAATTTGCTCATCCATTGCCAAAACCAGTGCTGCATCCTCAGCTTCCATATGGCATTTTGCTGATTTTTTTTTCATTCCTGACCAGGACTCCTATGATAGACATTTGCCTAGCACCTGAGGACAAGCTGCCCAGGGAGGTGGGGGAGTCACCATCATTGGAAGTATTGAAAAAACATGTAGACGTGGCACTTGAGGACATGGTTTAGTGGGCATGGTGGTGTTGGGTTGGTGGTTGGACTTGATGATCTTAAAGGTCTTTTCCAACCTTAATAAATCTGTGATTAATTCAGCGGAGAGTCCATATAAAATCTTTCATCCTAAAGTCTCTCTGCATGCTCAAAAATCCAAAAGAAACATGACAAGAAACACTCATCTCATAGAGTAAGTGTCCCAGGTGGGAAGGCTGCATTATGTTTGGCCACCTGCCACATACCAAAAACCCCAAAGTCACTGCTATTTGCCTTTGCTCACTGAATCTCATTACATGGGCTGAAAGACATAGTGGAAAACCCAGTGCCAAGCACAAGCCTTATCCCAGATGCTGCTGCTAGGATGGCAGTGAGAAGGCTGAGCAGAGAAGCAGTCCTACACTACAGCTCTCTGATCTCTGAAAATTATTTTGAACACGTAACAGTACCATGAAAAGCAGAATACATGGTCCATGGTTTGAAGACAAAAGCAATGCAAAGGGTTTGAAAGCTATAGTGCCTAGAAAGAGCCAGAGAAGGATAGCTCCAAAGTAGACCGGGTAGCAGGTATGAACCAATTTAGCCATGGCTTATATGAACTAACGAGCTACTCTGAAGCTGCAGTAAATGTGTGTTAGTATCCAACTCCTTTCAAATTAAGGCTGAGCAAAGATATCTTTCAGGTCAAGACTGGCTTTGCCAATTTTCCGTCTTTAAATCCAGAGTAAGAGCGCACTCTCAAAACAGTCTGTAAAACCAGCAGTACTGGACTATAAAGGAAAGCCTCATTTTACTGGTTTCTGGCCTGGGAAAAAAGTTTGTTTGTGAGATACCCATTTGTAACATCTCTGTTTGCATCCCTATGCAAAGCATATTCTGGTAACTTAACTGAATTCTAAACAGGAAATCTTTCCTGCTAGACACCAGAAGGAACACTTAATACTGTCTGATGCTCCTGTGATAGCATACATTAAAAACCAGCCAAGATTTTAAGCTACCTAAATCTTTCTTGATCTAACACTCAGTTCCTAATTTTTCCAAGTTTCTGTTTTGAAAAGTTGGCTCAACTTTGCAAGCTTTTGCTGCTCAGAAACATTTCTCTGTTTCAGTCAATTGCAAGTTAGGATTCTCTCCACAGCTAAAATACATTCACTGGCCTGGGTCCTCTCAAGGCTCTTGAACATGGTTATTTACCGTTTTTAGTGTGATAGAAGACAAAATATGAAATAGAGAATGAGGTGGTGTATATCAGACAAATTCCTTTGCTATAATAGAAATAACTCATTTAACTGTGCTAATCACAACACCGTTCACAGATCTAAAACAAAAATCATACTGTATTTCACACTGTAGGACAGGGCAGCCACCCTGTAAAATACAGGATGCCTACTTAACCTTACTGTAAAACAAAATAAAAAATAAACTGACCAGTCACGTTTCTCAAACAAGCAGTACAGTGAAGAGTTTTTAGTCTTACTCTTTTGTATTTCAGATTTCTTTCCCCATGTTGAGTTGCTGCTCCTGAAGTTCCTAAAACAAGGTGCCTTCTGACTGCAGTCTGATACCTCCTACATAAGTATCTTGTAGGGAACAAAATGTCAACTTTGGTCCAAAATTAAGTTTGGAAGAAATAAGGTTCTGCAAAGTATGGAGTTTCCCTTACAACCATTTTATTTTTTCTCTCTCTTACTAGGACAAGTTTAATGTTCAGGAATCAAAGCGTCATTGTTTGCCAGCAGAACACTTCAAACAGTGCATCCGATCAGAAGATAACTGATGGAAGCACCACATAGTATAAGACAGCCTTAGAGTACATGCAAGGGAAAATTCACTTCATTCTGAAATTTCAGAGTAAAACAAACTGATTTGAAAATAATTAACATGAGAGAGAAAGGAATGCTCATGAGTATATATGGGAAATGTTCTGCTGCTGGTGCCTATGTATATGATACACCAAATACACACAAAACCTATTTTCATACCTCAATGAGTTTGTCTCCTTTGACTACATCCAGATGTAAGCCAGGTGGTGGTTTCCCTGCCCTGGAAAATAAAGAAAGAAAAATATAGTATAAAAATATTTAATAAAAAGTTTTAGTGTTAGAGCTAATATTCTATTAGAGCTACAGACCAAGCCTACACAAATGTAAGCAGAATTATTTTGCAGAAAATATGAAAATCACCTTATTTTCTTTTCCTCCCTGAAGGTTCCTTCTGATAACCCATAAAACATGGGGTTTTTTTTTGGTTTTTTTTTTTTTTTTTTTTTTTTTTTTTTTTTTTTTTTACAGTAAGAGTTAAGCTTACAGGATGAGGCATTTCAAGATTTACTTCTCCAGGTAAGAAATAGCTAATATACAAAATGAACAGAGCAGCTCCTCAGAGAACATATGAGGCCAGGAAGAGGCTAACAGCTAGGGGAAGGGGATAGGCTGTTTTTGTGTTTGCGTAAGGGCTTACTCAAGGGCTCTGTTTTCTCATGTTATCTGCAGAACAGTAGATCTCTTCCCTTAGCTGTTGAGAGGAAAAGAAACTTCTACCATCCTTCCCCTCTGGGACTGGTAACAGCAAAAACACCTGAAAGGGGCTCCACACACACCTGTAATGTTACAAAAATGTTGTCCAATAGCCAGTGTTCCTCCACACTTACCCTATAATTAAACTTTCCTACTAACACAGGTAACATGAAAGAGACTACAGTATTAGATGGCAGAAGGATGCCTACCCTACAATAGTACAATCCTCCTCCACTAAGTTCTCAAACAAAGCGCAGCTCAGCTCCCCCAGCCCAACAGCTCCATCCCTGCTCACCTCCTGTGAAGCAGATTCACCAGACAGTATTATTCCCATTTGGGCAAAGGGAGCACGGAAGCATGTGGAACATGGCAATGCACAGCAAAACAACACGAATATGTGTGAGAACCCATGAGGATTAGCAGCATCAAAAACATTTGGTATTTACAGTGCTTAAAACCAGGGCACCACTGTGGTATCAATGCACTGCCCTTCACTACACAGGATCGTTGGCTGCTGACAGCAAATGATCTTTTTCTGCTCAGATCTCTGAAGATCTGCATCTCTAGTACTTCTTCACTGATAATAGCACTACTGCTTGTCTCTATGGCTGGACCAACTTTCTAGACAATGGCAGTGACCCAGTTCTCAGCTACACTGCTGCCCTTCTGAAGAACAACTGCAGAGGAGATCACATTCCCATTTACTGCTTTGCTCACTGCACAGAGCAAGCCAAGAGAACAGTGACAATGGGTAGCAACATTCTCAGCATGACTGGAGAAGAAAGGTCACTTGTAATTGAAATTGTTTGAGGGAGGTTAAATATAGATGTTCACGTTTCTGGGACATGCCTTACAATTTGAAGTTTTCTTCTGTGTCCCCAGGCCATCTGGTTACTATACACATGCTCTCCTAGACAACTTCATACAAGAACACAGTCCTCTATTACTTCTACTTAATTTCTTTCTCAAGTATTGCACCAGCATTTTCCATTCTTGCTCCAAATCCATTATACTAGCCTGCTCAGATCTCTCTCCGGCCCTTCTTGAATATGCTAGTTGGGACCTTCACAAGTTTTCTTACCATGCCTTTCTCCAAGATCATGGATAGTACCATCCTGACAAATCAGATGGATACGGCTGATAGTAATTGTCCTGGTTTCAGCTGGGCTAGAGTTAATTTTCTTCACAGAAGCTAGTGCGAGGCTATGTTTTGGATTTGGGATGAGAAAATGTTGATAATGTGCTCATCTTTTGAGTTGTTGCTAAGTGGCCTGCTAGCAAGAAGGCTAGGGGTGCACAGGAAGCTGGGAGGGGACACAGCCAGGACAGCTGACCCAAACTGGCTAAAGGGATATTCCATACCATATGACATCATGCTCAGTATATAAAGCTGGGATGAAGGAGGAGGAAGGTGTAGAGGGATGTTCGGAGTTACGGCGTCTGTCTTCCCAAGAAACCATGACACTTGATGAAGCCCTACTTTCCTGGAGCCGGCTGAAAACCTGCCTGCCAATGGGAGGTGGTGAATGAATTCCATGTTTTGCTTTGCTTGTGTATGCGGCTTTTGCTTTACCTATTAAACTGTCTTGATTTCAAACCATGAGTTTCCTCACTTTTACCCTTCCGATTCTTTCCGCCATCCCACCGTGGGGGAGTGAGCGAGCAGCTGCGTGGTGCTTAGTTCCTGGCTGGGGTTAAACCACAACACTGATTCTTTTTTTTTTGGATGAACAAACAGCAGCAGCAAAAGCAGAGGATGCAAAGCTCCAGGGCAATCTGCTAAAATGGTGACTGCTTCCTAGAAACAGTATTATGGTGGTGTGGTGGAAAGACCAGCAAGTAAAAATGCTCCCAAAGAAGAAACACAGTCCCATCTGATGACTTCTACCAGGACAGACTCCTCCAGTCACTCCAGTACAGCTAGGGGAGTGCCTCCCCTCAAGTACCGCTCTAGGATCATGCAGCCAGGCTACACCTGAGTATTGCTGTCTCTTCCTGTGCTCCCCTCAGATGTCAGCTCTCATTTTTCATTGAAAGACAGGTTTCACTCATGGATTCATGTCCACTTCTCAGTGTTTCCTCTTTCTGTCTCTGAGCACTGGCAAACTCTTTTTTTCTCTATTCCACTAAAATTGCCAAGTTCTAGTTACTCTGTGACACCACTTTTGATAATTCTCACAAAGCCTGCCTTACTTTGATAAAACAAAAGCTGCTTCCCCTACCTTTTTTTTTTCCTCCTCCTAAATAGGTAAACCTTTCAACAAATTAACTCTACAAGCAAGTCTACTTACCTATTCAGTCTGGCCTCTGCTTTTCTTTTCAGTGATCTCTTCTTGAACATTCAGCTGTCAGTCTGTCCTAAAAACATTTTAGCAACGTCCTCAACATACCTCTTAGGCCACAAGAAATGCTCTCAAGTGCTCTAGCACAGCCACTTTCCTCTTCTATAAGCTGAATCCTGTTTGATGGTCATCTTTTGCCATATACAATCTCTGATTTTTCATTACCCCCTCTACTTCTAGTTTCACCCATGCTATTATTTTACTCTGCTTTTACCTCAACTTTATTTTGAACACAGGAAAAAAGCACAGCAGCAGCACAAGATAGTACCCTATGAATTAAGGTGCTTGAAAAAAAATTATCTGTTCTCTGGTGCCTTTTTGGACTAAGAATCCATTGTAGACACTATTTCCCCCATCTACCTATGCCTGCAAAACACAGTAAGGCTGTAAATACTGCTTACAATACCAGCAAAACAAACTCACAGAAATAATTTCTGGTACAGAAATGATTTAGTCTGTCCCTTTGGAACAAACTAGATCAGTATCACAGCTCAGTCTGCTGAAGTTAGATACTTGAAAAATCTTTTAATGAAAAAAGTTGTAGTTCTGTATTGAAAACTAATCAGTTCCAGAGCCACAAAAGATCAGAAGTAATGGCTGTATTTGGAAGTATCAACAACCCTTCACATGTTCTGTCCTCCAAGACCCCCTCACCTCATGCATCAACAAAGTAAAACACTGAAAGGAAATCTCTTGAAAAAATCTCCTAGAAGAAAGTTTGTTAGAAAGTTGGTGCTGTGCTGTCAGTGAGAGAAAAACCTGCTCTCCCTTAACAGGTCCTCTCCCACTAACTAATGTGCTAAAATAGCCACTAAAACTAATTTTCCTACACTGTTCTGAAGGATGGAGGTCAACAGACTCTCCTTGCTGTAGAACACATATGGAGAGCTAGGCTTCGTCCTGCTCCAAAATAAATGGCGTCAGAACTTGGCTCCAGCACAAGTGCTTGTTTGAAAGAGAGAGACAAGAAGCTGTTCTATACCTTTCAGACTAGGCTTCATCCTGCTCCAAAATAAATGGCGTCACATCAGAACTTGGCTCCAGCACAAGTGCTTGTTTGAAAGAGAGAGACAAGAAGCTGTTCTATACCTTTCAGATTGTGTATCACAGTCCCCACTGCCTGAATGTCTTCTGCTCTCTACAGGTCAGCATTCTGCAAGTGACCTTAAAATAAGACGTGCAAATAGACTAACTGTTAATCATTACTAGCTCAATATGCTTAACTGAGACAAAGTATGCTTAGACTACCTCCTGAATCGCCAAAGGCTTACTTGGGAGAAAAGAAGCCTTCCAGAGAATTAATGAGTCTGATTGGCAAGGAGAAAATGACAGTCAGAGTATCATTAAATGAATCCTCTGGATCAGAGAAGAGGTGAGGGGACAGCCCACACTAGAGCTTTTCTTCACTAAGAATGAGTCCAGGAAAATCAAAGAAATGTCAGAATGAGAAAGTTAGAGAACTGATAAAAAGAAGTAACAAACTGCAAAACCCAGATGGTATAGCCAAGCATTTAAAAAGATATCAAGTATCAGTCTTCTACACTTAACAGTTTAGCAATCTATGGCTTAAACTACCCTCACTGTGAGAAATAAAAGTATCAACTGATGATGCTAATTTTAAAGCATATTTCAGGAGTGATGTGGAAACAACATGAGACAATCAAAGTTCTGACTGGGAAACTGGTAGAATAGAGTATTTCAGTTGGAGGGGACCTCCAGTGATCATCTAGTTCAACTGCCTGACCACTTCAGGGCTGACCAAAAGTTAAAGCATAGTATTAAGGGCATTGTTCAAACACCTCTTAAACACTGACAGGCTTGGGGCATCGACCACCTCTCTATGAAGCCTGTTGCAGTGTTTGACCATCTCTCACGGTAAATAAATGCTTCCTAATCACAGAACAGCCTAGGTTGGAAGGAACCTCGAAAGATCATCTGGTTCAACCTTTCATGGGAAAGGGAGGCTAGATGAGATTATCTAGCGCCCTATGCAAGCGCATCTTGAAAACCTCCAGTGATGGGGACTCTACCCTGTCACTGGGGACGTTGTTCAGTGAATGAATGTTCTCATTGTAAAAAATATCTTTCTTATATCACAATGAAGCATCATCATATAAAGCATCAACAACTATGAGACAAAAGGTTGGCCAGCTGAGAAGCTTGTTACCCACATTGCACCTCTCAT